CATGACGAGTTAACATTATGGCCAGTAAACCATAAAAAACAAAGGCCAGACATAAACATGACTGACCCTCAGCTTGAAGACGAAGTGATAAGTGATACTACTTGGATATGACATAGCTCACCCCACTCGTCCCTGATTTGGACTTGCTAATATTTAAAATTCAAAAGGGCCTTTAATGCACGTCGTCTGCGTTGGAGCAATACTGCCCTAGGAATGTTATTAGGTCTCAGTGGCCTCAGGTTTCGCCAGAGTATTTTTTTGGCTTTCTTGTTTAAAATGACCCAAAGGTGGCATACTCCATGGAAGAATAGCAGCAAACGATGATAGTTTACAGTCTAAAAGCCGACTTTAAGGTGTTTGTGCCTGCGCATTCGGCCTTCCACGTCCATTGGCCTTTCGCACATTTACTGCTCGTGTCGTGGCCTGCTTCTTCTTCATTTCCATACCTCCTATTAACTTTATTTTCTTGCATCCCAGAGGCGTACGAACAGAGTGAAGAGCGACAGGGGACCAAAGAAAAGCAACTTTAGAAATTTGTAGAGATTTAACCTTAACCTCTTGGCATCGCATGTAAGAAATGAATAGAGGCAGTTCCTCGCCCTGTTACCGTCTTGGCGTCTGCTAACCCTCGTCGGCAGCACCTTTCCTCACGGCGCCCGTCTCCTGCAGGTACTCGCCGTTCGGAATAATGTGCCTGGTGGCCGGGAACCTGATGGCCATAGACGACCTGGCCGACACGGCTCGCAGCTTGGGCATGTACATGGCCACCGTCATCACCGGCCTGCTCATCCACGCCACCGTCTCCCTGCCCATGGTGTACTTCTGCGTCACGCGCAAAAACCCGTTCAAGTTCTGCAAAGGGATTGTGCAGGCGAGTGTGTCACAGCCCCAGGAGTCGTTGGCTCGCATTAGGATGGTGCAGGGTCACCAAGGCTATGGTGTGTGTGTGTGTGGTGTGTGTGTGTGTGTGTGTGTGTGTGTGTGTGTGTGGGTGTGTGTTGTGGTGTGGTGTGGGTGTGGGTGTGTGTGTGTGGTGTGGGTGTGGGTGTGGGGTTGTGGTGTGTGGGTGTGGGTGTGGGTGTGGGTGTGGGTGTGGGTGTGGGTGTGGGTGTGGGTGTGGGTGTGGGTGGTGGGTGTGGTTGTGGGTGTGGGTGTGGTGTGGGGTGGGGGTGTGGTGTGGGGTGTGGGTGGGTGTGGGTGTGGGTGTGGGTGTGGGTGGTGGGTGTGGGTTGTGGGTGTGGGGTGTGGGTGTGGGTGTGGGTGTGGGGTGTGGGTGTGGGTGTGGGTGTGGTGTGGTGGGGTGTGGGTGTGTGGGTGTGGTGTGGGTGTGTATGTGTGGGTGTGGGTGTGGGTGTGTGTATGTGGGTGTGGGTGTGGGTGTGGGTGTGTGGGTGTGTATGCGTTGGGAGAGAGAGAGAGAGAGAGAGAGAGAGAGAGAGAGAGAGAGAGAGAGAGAGAGAGAGAGAGAGAGAGAGAGAGAGAGAGAGAGAGAGAGAGAGAGAGAGAGAGAGAGAGAGAGAGAGGGAGAGAGAGAGGGGGAAAAAGAGTGGATTGCGATGTAAGTCTAGGTCTTGGACATGAGCGTGCGCTTTATAGTCATGCTAGGGTCGGCAGATCACACAGTGTGTAATTATCTTCGATCCTTCGAACAGCTTGATGAAATTCTAACTTGATGGCCGTTCGCTACTAACTTATTAACACATACCAAGTGCATTGTACAGGCCATCTGCAAAGCGCTGTAGGTGCTGTCGTATGTTCAATGTAATACGACCAGATGTGTTCATTGCCTCCGCGAGCTGCTCCTGACAAACTTCACCCGCAGCCATTAATGCACGGCAGATGTATTGTATACACGATGCCGTGGTGTGTTCATCTGCCTGCCTGACCGACTGTTGCGTGACTGAGGTTGTTGAGATGCCCACCACCACCGCCTTCACTGAGGTCACGAGGCTGTCGACACGGCCTCCCTGCAGTGATCTGATAATCAGAACGCTCTCGTTTTGTTCCACTGTTGATGATCATGTCTTTGTGTTCGTTTTTCGCGACTGTAGTCCGTTCGCCACCTGGCTCTGGAGACATTAGCCGCCAGCATCGACGTAGCCTCAGGAAAAAAACAAGTTGGAACGGGACGCAATGCCAGACTTTCCTCTAAATGTGTAGGTTTTCTTGCTGGTTTAATAATTTTTAGCGACTTGGGGGGCGAATAAGGCTGATTGTTATCGTCCAAGGCTGACATTGCGAGGAGTGGGCAGTCAGGACGAAAAGATGAAAACCCTGCATACCGCGCATGCCGGCACTCACGTTGCCTTAAGAGCAATGTGTGTTCGATGCATGCCAACTCATGCGTAGACAACAGTGGTCATCTTGAACTTGGCTGGCGTATCTCCAATGCAAGAGAAAATCTGCATTCCCTTTTGATATGTTTTCTATTGTACTGAATGTCATAGCTTATAAAACCCCGCGTGCTTCGGTCGCATTGCTACATGCTTTCATTTGCGTGTGGCAAATATGACTCTTTCGCATATTTTAAAAACTACTCTGGTATTGGTAGGATTGTAGTAGAGTGATGCAATAATTTGGCTGATATTTCGGCCATGTGATTCGATAAGCAACTTGTCCTCGCCAGCATTGGGTACAATTAAACTATCTTGAAAGCCGCCCCGTGTATCTCCCGTCCATGTAGTGTGTTCAAATTGAAAAAAATCAAATTGACATCCCGAACATACGCATTGACGATTGATTCGACGAGGCTGACTGCTGTTGCTCAGCCATATCCGCAGAAACCGTAACGCACGGCCCAGAGCCCGCGCACGGCAACGGCATGCCCGAAGGAGGGCGGTAACTGACAGCGCGCCGCTGTTGCCGACAGGCGTGGGCTCTGGCTCTCGGCACGGCCTCCAGCTCAGCCGCCCTGCCCATCACCTTCCAATGCCTCGAGGTCAACAACGGCCTGGACAAGCGCGTCACCAGGTAATGCTGACCTCTGGCGACAGGCCGACCGGAGAATCCTCGCTCCGAGCTGATCAGTGTCGAACCGTGCGGGTCTTGCGCTGGCCTCGATCAGCTTATGCGACCGATCCACCGATCCACGACGGCGTTCCGTGCGATTTCGCGCGTCTCGCAGGACATAGTGACCGCATGTCCACGACCAGCTGCTTCCAGAGAAACGTACCGTGCGCGCGCTGGTACCCAATTAAGGTCTGGTTACCGCGCACCACCGATGTGTGCTGACAGAACGCCGAGGTGAATGAACCGGAATCACTGGGAACGGCGTGTCGTGCACGGCATGGGATAGATAGCATGCTAGCATGTTAGCATCACCTGACTTTTCATACATTGCCACAGGAAGCGACATTAAATGTCAAGAGAACGTCCCGGATGCATTCATTTTATAATATTTTATCTTTCATTTTGATACTGCTGTATGAGCCCCGACCCCTATCATCTGATTATGCTATTCCAGGTCAACGGAATAATTTGATGGCGAAATTTGAATTTGCCGCAATGCTCGGCTCAGAACGTCCTACGTTTTGACGTCATCTGACCTTTAGACGTCCTACGTTTTGATGTCACTTGACCTTTAGACGTCCTACGTTTTGACGTCACCTGACGGCCACTGCCACCAGCCTGACAAACCATATCTGTCTCTAAGGCAAATAGCGACTGCCTAGACCGACTCGAACCCATCCCGTCACGCGTGGGTGGATCCTAAGTCCGGCGCTCTTGCCAATTAAGCAGCAGGACGGACATTTAACGTTACCCAATTACTTCAATGCTGTTATTCAGCTCGGGCAATTGATTTGCCGTCCTCCATTTCTGCCTTCATTTTGTGACAATCGTTTGCAAAGAAAAAGGGTCAACGCGAGCCTTTGAACTTTTTTGGAAGATACCTCTCCGGCATGTCGCAAAATCGTGCTCAAATTTCCGGTAGCTCTTGGGCATCCATTGCGCGTGTTTTGACACCAAAAACATGTCCCCCTTATTACTGATTTCGCAACAGCGCCGGGTTTTGAGAAACAACGCGCGACGTTCCGCGGCTGGCGCGGGCGGCGAGCCGTGAAACGCCGGCGCACGTCCCACCGGTAATGCCGTGGAACGCGCGCCGGCGGGCCGACACTGTTACATTAACGGAGCCGTAAAGCATTTACATGGTAAAGGCACATAAAACTGTGCTTCATGGTACTCAGGACTGGATAAATAACACGCCCGTCTCATACACATGATCCTTTAGATCTACAAAAGGTTTATCGTCTGCAAGATTTGACCTTTGACCTGGCATGACGGGGTCTAGGTTAGACATGGAAGCATGAAATGCCCTGCCAATCGCAAAATCTCGTTAAGAACAATCCTCTGTTTATTTGTTGCCAAGCTCTATCTTTCCAAGTTTGTAAACGGCGGAGGAACTGCATCGCCCCACCTCCATCAGTCGGCGTTATGAATAACTGCGAAGCAGGCCCAGGGTTAAGGCTGATCAAGTGTGTGCCTCGGGTTTCGGTTACTTTTCTTCAAACGATATGATCTATGAACAAACTGTCCACTCTCTAAAACGGTGCGCGTTGCCGGTGTAGATGTCGCCACCGTGGTTATTTTAGATGTTTTAATCAAGCAGTGCTTCGCATGTTAACCTCGCTCAGCGCGCCGCCTGCCTACGGGCCCACTCCGCGCGTGGTGATGGTGTGGCCTAACGGAGCCATAGTGGTAACCGACCGGCTGGCGCCGGCATGAGTTCTGAGAAGCGGAGACTTGCTGAGAAGTGCGCTATATGCGGCCGCGTTAAAGGAAACGCTAGGATTATATGGAATGTGACAGCGTGTCTACAGCATATTGAGGGCAGCGCGCTGGATGAGTGATAACAAACTATCGGCAAGCGTAATAGACCGCTGCCGCGGTAGGTTCCATTAACGGGCGCTGCCACGAAACACCACAGAAATGGTGGAGCACGGATCTGCTGGGTAGGAGCCAGTCGAGGAAAATCATACCGAAATCAGGCTTGAGCCCAGGACATCAAGCACATCAGAAGAGCCAAGTGCTTCATGCCATCGTGGAGTGGAAGCAGAGCGAGACGTTGCAAAAGGTCGCGGAAATCATCGAGCCGTGCGTTAGATTAGCCTACCCCGAAGTTGGCGGGGCCGCACTTGAGCCCCTGTAGTACTCAACCTGTTGCCGATGGTGGTATGCCACTCCATCTCTTGCCGACGGTAGTATGCTACTTGCCGACGACGTTTTACTTCTCCACCTCTTGCCGGCGGCAGCGTGCTACTCCACCTTTTGCCGATAGCGTCGCGCTTCTCCATCTCTTACCGACGACGGTGCGCTACTCCACTTCCTGCCGACGGTGGTATGCTACTCCATCTCTTGCCGACGGTGGTATGCTACTCCCCCCTTGCCGACAGTGGTGTGCTACTCCATCTCTTGCCGACAGCGTCGCGCTTCTCCATCTCTTGCCGACGGCGGTGCGCTACTCCATCTTTTGTGGACGGTGGTAGATGAACAGAGATAGGCTGACGTTCTAGGGTGAAAGCTGCGGGCACTGTCGAAGACTGGCCAGCGTTTCGGCAGAAGAACATGCCGAGGACTCCGGCGCGCACACACACACACACACACACACACACACACACACACACACACACACACACACACACACACACACACACACACACACACACACACACACACACACACACACACACACACACACACACACACACACACACACACACCACACACACACACACACACCACACACACACACACACACACACACACACACACACACACACACACACACACACACACACACACACACACACACACACACACACACACACACACACACACAACACACACACACACACACACACACACACACACACACACACACACACACACACACACACACACACAATGCATGTGGCGGCAATCGTCGACGAGCAAGAGGTCTCGCAGACAAAAACAACCTCTTCCAGTGACAACACCACCAAGCTGCATGGGTTATTCGAAAAATTCATTGAAGACATGAATGGGAAGCTCGCTGAAATGCTGCTGCTGGTGAGGCTTGCAAAGCCCCATTTCCGCACGGAGGTAACTGCTCGAAGAGCGCATTTCTTGTGAAAATGTTGGCACTGTCAGAAGGAAGGTGACAGGAACTCTGTTAGAATAGCGACGAGGAGGACTACAAAAAGCCCGTTGGCAATCAGCAAGGTCAACAGCATCGGAGGGGGTCTCTGAAGATGATCGATGGAGTCTCGGTTCAGATGCTGATCGATTATAGGACGTCCGCAGTGTCCGTGACCCGCCCACGGAGCCTCTCCACGGTAACGGAAAGGTCGAAGGGGCTTCTGCACAGCGATCCGGTAACGGTGGCAGCTGGCGGAGGAGCCATGGCAGCCACTACGTTCAGGCTCAAGCCGCAGTAACGTTCCGGCCTGGGTTAGAGAACTGCCGACCATCAGGGCGCCAGTGGCTCGGCAGTCTGTGCTAAGTTAAAACCCACATGACCGGTGCATATATTTCACGTCAAGTAGTGTTTACTTGCGATGAGCTATTGAATGTGACGTCGGGAGTTCGCTCCAGTTCCGTTGTTGTAAGCGCTCTGCTGAACGAATCCAAAGCTATGAAGAGTGCAGTATCACCCATGGCGGATCGCGCCGGCCATCCCTAGAGCTGCCTGGATGCGCTGCTACAAGATGACCTGTCCGTGCTCTGGAGAGCCGTCCCTCCGAGCGGGTTGGCCGTCGGTGGAGGGGTCAATACGGTCAGACGCACGCTGACTGACCGGCGCGTGCGGGAGCGCCGAGAACTGGAGACCTGTGAGGGAGCGGGTGGTGCTCCGCCGCCTCTGAACAGTGCGAGGCCGGTCTGGAGCGTACCCGGGCTCACGTCGGGTGTGGCGCGCCACGTGAGTGGCAGGAGGCCAGCAGCAGGCCGGACTCTGTGAGTGTGACCAGTGCTACGGAAGGATCGAGTCGTCTCTGACGCCTAGTGAACAGCAGCCGTTCCCGCTGGATTCCGCACAGTGCTGACCTGCAATGTCCTTGTTCACTGGAAATTTTCAAAAGCGGTGAATCCCACTCGAACCAAAGGTAAAAACTTGAAACGAAATACTGCTGACCAACAATGTCAAGGAGAGCTTCACATGTATTAGAAATAAACGCATGGATTTTAAATTGATCCGGAAATTGGACTGGACTGAGCGAAGCAAGTCTCAAGTGATATGGAGTAGGATGTTAGTTGATTTTTAACACGCGTCTGGGTTGCCGGCTGGATAACTTTTGCTCGAGAAATCCGCCCCCCCCCCCCCCCCGAGATCTATGAAACTAAGGGAGCTAGAGACAGCAAATTCACAGGGTATGGTGGCCTGTACGTGAACTCACTTAGGTTAAAGACCAAACTGATCAAACTTCACTTAGGTCAAAGTTTGAGGGTCACGATCTTCGGGTCAAATAAGGTTAAACATGGTGAAACACCTGGTTGGCATTTAAAGTGCTCCTCAACTTAAACACGTGTAGACAAAAGACCACATGCCGATGTAAGGTCAGTGAACTTGTTTAACCTTTCGAAGATCATTAGTAGCCAGTTTTAATATCAGTATTGGTTTCGTGCTAATTTTATGCCACATAGTATTGTGTAGGTATCTCATACGTTTTTGTCATTCCAACTCCTTTATGTATTAGGACATTCTGCAAACAACAGCAGGTTTTTCGTTCATGAACACATTTGGATTGGGACAACAAAACTGCTCTGCAATATGCGGCCGCTTTTAAGTAAAAGGTGGCTAATCACATTCACCTGCTGCACAGCTCGCCATTGTTGAAGTGGGATTTTTCACATATACAATTAGTTTGTTTCACCTTTCTGCTACTTCTTGTGCTACTAGTAGCTACTTAGTATTAGCAGCCAGCTAGTACTATTAGTAGCTAGCTAGTAGCTACTTTTCTGCTACTACCCAATGAAGGCATTCTTAAGACCGTCGCACGCTGGACTTTACAACCGGGGAGGGGGGCACAGGTACAGATTAAGACAAAGGCCGATTCTTTACACATATATTTATACTCGACATCGAGAACGCAAATAGAGGTAACAGATATCAGGGGGAGGGGGGGGGGGGAGAGAAATCAGGTTTTGAGGGCGGATTAGGTCAAGTTCATCTGCTGAGCCCTTCCCCTCCCCCCCCCCGCCAACCGGATTGAAAAGTGACACTCCTGGTTCCCAGTATTTACGTTAATTGCTAGACATAGTGCTTCCAATTTGCTGTGTGGCTCTGGTATTGTACTGCTGGGCTAGCGCTACCGCTCAATAGCCCAGGCCATCTCTGACATCACCAGCCGTGCCTGACTTCCAGATTCGTGCTGCCTGTCGGCGCTACAGTCAACATGGACGGCACTGCGCTGTATGAGGCTGTGGCCTCCATCTTCATCGCCCAGAAGAACGACATGAACCTCAGCATCGGCGGCCTCATCACTGTCAGGTGCAGACATGTTACCAGCGGGACTTCCGCCCATAAGTGGAGCTTGGAATGTTCGGAGGTGGCTTTACCTTCCGAGCTCAATGTGTCACATTCGGCCATTTTATCCTGAGACACAAACAGCCAGAAATCTGGCAGAACACAACCAATTTTTTTTCTGTTTTAGGCTTGAAGCTGGACATGTTTATGGTGTAGTGCATGGATACGGCGTTAATAATTTTATCTTTCATTTATTCATGTATTCCCCATCAGGATTGCACGTTTATGTTCTTGCAACAAATTAAATTTAGCTAACATACGTGAGACGGCATCAATTTCTACAAGGCATAAATGTACCTGGTCTGGGATCTGACACACACCAGATCCGGAGGAGTAGACCCGCTCCAGAGCAGCAACCGAACACTGTGTGTCCGTAAATAAGGCCATAGATTAAGACACGGGTGGATGCCTAAATATTTAGGACAACGTTTCGCTTCCGAAAAGATAGCACATAGATATAAGGCCCAGAACCAGTTGCCATCAGGCATATGATATCTGCCGCCATTAGGCATATGATACCTGCCGCTTCCTGTCACAGTGTGCTTTATGTAAAGACTATTTTGAAACCCAGAATTTAAAAATCCCGCTTCTGCGGCCATAGTTGTGGTTCAACCACGTCTTCGTTTTTTGCTTCGTTCGAGCTGATGGGATAGGGCGCTTTCGGGCAATTATGGTAATTTGAAAGTACTGGGATGGAAGAAAATGAGAACGGAATATATCATCAACGAGAGTGATAAATTAACTACGACAATCTTCCCTATCCTCTATTTTTTTAATGGCTCCTATTAATGGCTTCCCTATATAATGGCTATAATGGCTTCCCTGACGAACACGGCCCATTTGTTAGTGGAGTGCGGGGGGGGGGGGAGCACGGATTTCTTTGCTTTACGATTAGTTTCCTGTCTCTAACTGGAACAGGAGCCATCGTCTACCGCGACATAAATTCCGCTTGAAAATTGACATCATTAAACTGAATAAAGCAGGTGATAAGCGACTTCGTGGAATAGCTCACCGGCGCTGTTCATTTCACGATGGCTCAGTGGACTTCATTTAAAGCCGATAGTACTCAGAAGCATTGCTAGAATTGTGATCTGGGTTCTACAAAAATATTGAGGAACACTTGAACACACTGTATTTTTGTATGAACCCATTGTAGTTCGAGATAGTGCAAACTTTACATAACATGGGCAACCCATGTTTGCCTGAAAAAAATGCTCAACATTCAGTCAGAATCGATTGTCGAGAAAAACGAGAGTAGTTGTGAACATGCACGCTCGCAAATCTTAGCAACAAAAACCTCGACGCGCTGCGTTGCAGTCTCCGTATGCTGCTTGGCGTGGGCCTCGCGGTTAACTCCGAGCGTTGGCAAAAGGGAGACGAAAATCTGCTGTTGAAAATGGAAGGATAAGGATATGATTTTTATACTTGCTGTTGTAGTTGTTTATCCGTCCAGAATACCGTCTTAGAATATGAAAACGCATTTTCGGCGGAAATGACTACCGCACAAAACTGCCGGCACGTTTTTTTTATCTCTCTATCTGGCCTAAATAATTTAAAATATATTCCTGATGACAGCGACACCTATTATACGAAGCAGCTCCTATATGGCATGGAGCGGATATAAGAGCTGCCAAGCACAAACAACTCATCCAATGACTTGCGAACACAAAAATTGGAAGGTCAGATAAGCTTAGAATAAGTAACGCAATTTTCTAAGACCTTCAAAGCCTTTTGCGGTATAAAATGTGTTACCTTGGCAAAGAGAAAGTGACATTTAAACTCATCACGCCAAAACGCGTTGGATGGAACGCGGAAATCGATGTTCCGACGAAAAGGTAAGCAGGGTCGTCCTGCTTATCAGACATAATCCGTCTGTACCCAGACGTGTGCCATTTGCCAACGCATCACTTAATCCTGCACGAAGCTAAGAATACTTCATAGCTGTATGCGATATTTCCTTTTCATGGCTTCACCCGTTGTTTTAAGGCAGCTGTTCACGGTTACGTGGCGGAGGTGTTTCTCAGGGTAGGTGGCAAATGTCAAATATGCTACCAAATCCATCGAATTTGGGTCAAACTTCTGCAAAATTGCCCAGTGTCTGGTGTAACTTTCTTAACTCGGGGGAAGGTATGGCGTCCTCGACCATTTCTTGGCTACGTCCTTGGCTACGTCCTTGGCTATTCATGACAAAAAAAACTTGTGAACTGTTCCTTTGCATTCTTTCTAGAGCATCTACTCGACACTCCACACGCATGCTCGTATCCGTGAGGTCTTTTTCCCACCCTACATGGGTGGCCCTGTATTTACCCAGTCCGTAAACGTGGAAACCCAACTACGTGTGCTTTGTTTGAGCTCTGCACGTTCCAGTCTGACCTCTATACATACTCTCAATGTTCTCTCTTCAAACACCAGAGCTGACCTTATCATGATCTGATCTGACCCTGGCATGTCCTTGCCCGATGTGTCTGTCTTTTCAGGGTCTGGCTTCCATATACGTGGTCCACCATGCGCATACTTCTAGTTTGATTATCATTTCTGATTAACATTATCATATCTAATTATAATTATTATCATCTGATTATCAACGGCTTATGACGCGTGCATACCCTGTTGTTAGCTCTATGTACCTCGGTCTGACCGCGGTATGTCCAAAGTACAATTTACGCATTTCAGCGATCTAATCTTAACATTGTCACGGTGTGACCCCTGTCCCACAGTCTCACCTCCATAACGCATGCCGTCTGACGCCTGGTCCGCACCCCGAAGCAACTAACGCCCGCAGTCTGATGCCGGGCTCGCAGTCTGACCCTCTGTGACGTCAGCGGTCAGACACTTGACTCACAGTATGACCTTTGTAACGTCCGCAGTCTGACGGCCACGCTGGCGTCCATCGGCGCGGCCTCCATCCCGTCGGCGGCGCTGGTCACCATGCTACTGATCCTGCAGGCGCTGGGCCTGCCCACCCACGATGTCGCCCTCATCTTCACCGTCGACTGGCTCCTGTAAGCAAGGGCAGTGAATTGCCCGGACCTGATGGAAAAAGTCGGCGACAAAATTTATCGTTTTCACTTGACGCTTCCAGCCAAAAATATGCTTTACTGAAAGTTGCATTTTGCCCGTAGCGAGATATTGCAGCGCACACTGCGCACGCCAAAATGAGGCTTCTAGCTTTTGCGAACTTTGGCGGTTCCGGTTCTCTTAACTCACAGAAGTGCCGATAGATAGGGTGCGGCTAAGTTGGGCTTCTCTGAAACCAGAGGCAGGAAATGCGATTTTCCGCGGAGCCCGCTCTTTCTCCGGCGTGAGGGACGGGCGACGCCATACAGTCTCAGTTACTGAGGGCGCGGTTAAGCCCCAAGGACGGTGACTCCTTGACTCGCCGCTCGTATGCCCGTGACCCCCGCTGACTGCCCCCGCTTCCGCCAGTGACCGCATGCGCACCTCCATCAACGTGCTGGGCGACGCGTACGGCGCCGGGATCGTGCAGCACCTCTGCAAGGACGAGCTGGCGCGCATGGACGCCGAGGCGGAGAGGCGCGACCGTCAGATGGCGGAGATGCTGCGCTCCGGCAGCGTGGCCCTGAGCGGCGGGCGCGGCTCGCTGCTGCCGCGCGGCTCCATCTGTCCGTCGGTGGCGCCCAGCGGCGCCATGCTGCCGCTGCGGCCGGGCGCGCTCACGCCGTCCGACGAGCGGGCTGCGCCGCCCGCTGCCTCGCGCAACAGCTGGCTCGAGAAGCGCGTGCCCAACTCGGAGACGCAGATCTGAGCAGCTCGAGTGCGGGGAGGCGGCGGCGCGGCGGCGCGCGGGGAGGATTCCTCCCAGCGGCAGACCGCCAGCGGCGGTGTCGGGTCTGACAGAGATAGCATGGTGTGTTGGCTCGGTGTTGATGGCTTCTGTCATGTCAGCCATCATGTGCGAGATCGTAGGCGTGTGCTCTGGTAGGTGTTTAACTGGTCCAGTCGTCTGGGGTGGCCCAGGAAATTACTGTCGGCGAATGGAAATGTGCGAGAGCGAGAAAACTGATTTGGCTTGAGCCGGCTGACTGCTCCGAAAACAGGGCCCGGAAACCCGATGTACATGAAAAATCGATACGTCTGATAGGTGTCACTACGTGCATTTTGCAGGTTTGGGCGCGAAGGTTGTGACTGTGGGCTTGTGAGAGTACTTGCTGCGGTTGGCACGAGGCATGCGGCACAAGTCTGCTGGCACTGCCGCATGCGAGGCCATGCTTATGTGGATCATGGGCGTTGCACTAATGTGAAATGCTCCCGCCCAAGTGTCAGAGCTTGGGGCGCAGTTGTGCATGTGGGCTACGCCGTCGAATCGGACGTTGTTGGTCACAAACTGGTACGCGCAGCACGCGGCTGCAGCGCTTCGCGTGGCGTCGGAACTGTATACTTGAGGTTTGTGATCCTCTCATAGGTGTCAGCACCAGTAGGCCGGTGGGCCGCAACATCCACACAGGGACTTCCACAATGCTTGCCGACGTCTTCGACAGTCGTGCACCAGCTGGTAGGTGGCGCTAATGCTTTACCCAAATGCACTATGTTGCTGTTAGGTTAGATCAATGTCAGCGCATGTATATGCATTTGCACACGCAGGTGCTGCCAGCGACATGTGAAGCCAAATGCTTCGCAAAACCCCATTCCCACTACACCCATTTTCATTTGCCATTGCCTTTCAAATTTACAGTTTCGCGTTGGAATTTCGGCTCGCTCGGTAAGAAATATTTCATGCCGACTCGGGATCATGTGCTCGCTGTTGCCTAACCGGTTTTGAATCGGCCGATGTAGCACCTAGAGCGGTACGGTACCCCGCACTCTGTGTTCACCCTGCCAGCGAGCTTGGGCTTCAGGACACCTGTAACTCTGCTGCAGTGTAGTGGCAGGCATGTGAGGTGCATTCGTGCTGGTGATGAGCTTTGAAGCTGCGGCGTGTGTGTGTGTGTGTGTGCATGTGTGTGTTTGTGTGTGTGTGTATAAGGATACTGCCGTGTCCCACTCCTGTTAAACCAAACTCGTCGCCAGCTCTCGTCGATTGCCTGCAGTCCGTGGACTCAGGCATTTTATAGTGTTTACATTTTGTAGACATTTTGTGGAGGATGAAGCCTGTTGAAGCCTTGTTGGATGCTGCATCTAGGACTGATCTGTGTTCATTCACAACTGACAGCCGTGCCTTGTTGCGGACATCGCTGTGTGCGAAATTCATTCACCGGGACAGGGCAGCCATCGAGCGACCGGAACTTTCCGCCGCTAGGAAGGTCGCGCACACCATTGTGCGACACGCCTGCCAAGATTGCCTCTCACGCGGGTCTTTCTTGTTGGCTTGAGTGACTGCTCGAAGGTGTCGCTGGGCTGAAAAACCAGAGCGCGGTGGTAAATCGTGTCCGCTTTGGACATCGGCTATGAATCAGAGGCGTGGGCACCACACATTGGCTTCCGGTAGTGTGGATGTGGTTCCATTTTTTCGTTTGATTTCTAGACAAGAAGACATACTCAGTGGATGGCTGAGAGCATGACACTTGCTCGATTCCCTCCAACGTCAACGTTAATTTGCAAGTAGTTTAGCCTTTCCGTTACACATTTGCGCCTTCATTACCAGTCGTGCACCTTTTTGGTGTCCAGGTGGCATGGTTGCTCTCATGAGGCTCTCGGCCAAGAGCATCTGCGGATACAGCTAGGCCACTCCGGTGTCACCATAATGCGACGTTTTTCACGACATGTCTACAACACTGCAATAGCATCTTCCGCTTTCATGTTTCGACATTGTAGTGACACTGGCTACACACGTCTTCGGGCATTCCATTTCTGCGAGATGTACCACGACTACGATTGTTTTGGTCGTGAAAGAGCTTATCGTACTTCAACGAATTTGGAATTGTATGTACCGGGAATTCCGTGACTGCATTTGTCTGTTGCCCACTACTAGTAGATTCGCCACACATCGCACTGACCTCAATGCATCCAACCCTCAGCACAAAATGTTTTGCGGGAAGCGTGGTGGTCCAGTGGGTAAGACGATATTTGACTTGGACTTTGGCGTGGAAGACGCTGGCTCTAATATCGGCTCCACGGCGGTCTCCGGACGCTTAAGTAGCTACCGTCACGTTCCCTAGCAGGGCTCGCGACAACGTGCTCTGCGTTCCTATGGGCAACAATGCTGTCATGCACTTGCCGTTGCACATCAAGACGATATTTGACGAACGTGCTTAAATCGTATGGGATGCTGCGGTACATGTTTTCGAGCATGGGCTTGTCATTACCATGAACACAAGATAAAATAACAAATCGTGCTCGTGTTTGTAATGATGGCAATGTCACAACATTTATCTGGCAGCGCATGGCATACGGTCCATACGTTCTCATCAGATGCATGCCACCAGCCTATGTTAGAATAGGCTGTTAGTCTATAGTCATGTAGACGATATCATCCAACGTTTGCAACCGTCCCTATGATCGTCGTTCCCTCGCAGGTAGTGAGAGTCTTTTGCCAGAAAGGCCGTGAATGTGTGCCGTATGGTAAACTTAAGTGTACTCCTGGTTTGGCAGAGCGGTCATCTTGCGTTGTATAGCCAGGCTTGTGCCATGCTAATGTTGTCCCGTATTCGCTGCAGATGTTTCGCATGTCCAGTATGTCAGACTGGCAAGTGGACGGTGGTTTGGTAATCCACGGTGTCGTGACCGTGCCATCAGATCGGGCGAATGGCAGAACTACCCGAATGATAATTTCCATATCAGGATGAAGCATCCCATTCACAGATGTACATATCCACAGCCCAGAAATAAGCTATATTCTTGAACAGCGATTGCAGCTGTGCTGATATTCCAGCAATATGACATATCTTATTTGGCGATCAGCAAATTGAACTGCTTTGCAATCTGTCGACGCGCTCTGGATCCCATATCATAGACATTGAATAAAAGTGATACTTGAGTCAGAACAAACCGTATTTCTGTGCTGAGCGCGGAAAGTGATGGAAGTTCATATCGTCGGCATTTATATCCTCAAATCTATTTCTTGTTCGCACATCCTTTAATGAACTGTAATCGTAAACCCATGCAGGTAGAACATAGGTAGGGATTCGTTATTGCAATGGCGTCCGTTTTGGATGGCTCCAGTTTTGGCATAAACAAAGTAAACGTCTTACAAAAACGAGCAGGCACTCATTAATATTTTGTTTACTTTTTTCAACGACTCCCTCCATCAGAAATTCAGCGATCGTAAGGCCTGAAAGAGTGAACGAAGAAAGGTCTCACAAAGCGCAAGGATTTTTTGTCGACCCCTGAGGATGGCGGTGCTTCTATCCAATTAGTGCGGTCCTTAATGAACGCCGCAATATACCACGTACATTGTGCCCCTTCGCCCCTGTTTTGGCAAATATTTGATCCACCTGTCATGAGAAGTTACCTGTAAAATATGCTCGCATTGTTTGAAGCATGCCCAACAATCCTGCGTCACATTAATCATAAAGATAGCCGCCCCGGCCGTCCTTGGATCTAAAATGGCTTCGGAGGCGCGCGCGAGCGAAATCACAAATTATGACCGTGCGGAAACGTTTGTCTTCTCTTTGTCTCGCTTCGTCACATGGATAAAGTTTTGTTTGCCCAAACTTTAGTGACTGGGCTGTCTACACGCTCCTACACCATGTCATGCTCAGCTTATTTGTTCGTAAATTTTCGAGAAACCGTTTCAAATGCAGGTGTGCCCTGGTTTCTGCGAACAAGTGTTCCGTTCTAGTTTCACGCAATTTTTCTGCCAGCTTACATCGTTGATCGGGGAAGCGTTTTTATACCGTTGCTGAAATCGATGTAGCGAGCCGCTCCCCAATGTCGTACACAACAAACAACCCTGGATCGATGGCCAGAATAGTTCTTTCATTCTCACCGTTATCTCAAATTGATCTTATTGATTTGCGTACAGCATATCAGCACACAAAAATGAACCCCTGAGGTCCGGCAGACATACTGGATGCCGTCAACGCTCCACACTGGACATCCGGCGAGCTCAGACTGTTGAGACTCAGTCCAGCCACATGGAATGAATGTTTCACTAGCCCCGTCCAGGCAACTTATGGGCCATGTCGCGACTGTACAATGGCGCAAAAATAACCTGCCGGCTGTGTCGCGACTGTACAATGGCGCAGAAATAACTGGCTTCAGGAACAATAAGACAAGCCCTTTCGAGAACGTTATTTAGGCTGCTCGTCCTTACATCAAGAATTTGTCTTGGGGGCATATGCGTCAAGGCTTAAACATTGCGACCCAAAAAAAAACTGTTGCTTTCCGTACAGCGAAGCAACTTTATTGTGGTAACGCATCTTGGAAGCTGCTTAGCTAGTAATGTTATTAGGCTCAAAGTCATCCTGACATTAAGCATTTCTTTAGACAAACTTCATGTCGCAGACAATGTACCATTATAAACACGACGTAAAAAGAAAAGGTGTGTGTGGGCAGTTTTGTTGGTTCACCATTTTTCACGTTATTTTTTGGCTACCCTATTACACGGTTAATGTAAGATTTCATCGAAAAGTGCATGAAGGGGCAGGCGCTTTCCTATCCCGGTACCCATGTTTTTTCAAGCAGATACTTGAAAAAGTATCCTGCTTCACTAAAAGTACGGCCAACCTTTTTGAAGCAAATGAGATATGTTCTCATACCTCATTTCATTTTCAATGCACCTTACGCCTGCGCCACGCAATCCTTGCGTCTTAAAAATACGGCAGCCCTTCTGGCCTTTTGGAAAAAGAAATCTGGGCTGGCCCAGATCTCGTAAATGTACAGTGTACACAAATGTACATAAGCTTACCATGCGCTTAACGGTCCCGTTGAGCATGTGCACCCTGGTGGACCTCAACTGATTTCCCTTTCCTGCACTCGTCCGCCATGGCGTGTACGAGTATGAACCACATGGTCGTTGTTTGTTCTAGTGGTGTAGTCAGCAATAGCATGTGTCATCGGATAAACATTCGGTGCTTCTAGAATGGTGTGAGTAACCGCCTGCTCGAAGCTTAGTTGTAGTCATTGCTCGACTTTCACTGCACTCGACACGTTCGTGTAGAATAGCTCTCCTGCACGGCACGCGCACGCACGTACCCGCGCACGCACACTCGCACACGCACCGCGAGGGCACGCTGAGCCCTCAGCGAACCCCATTGCACCGCCAGAGTCGGACGAGTCAAGGGAGTTAGCGAGTTCAGAGTTTAGGGTTCGTCAGCAGATCTCGTCGTTTGGCTGTCGGTCGAGGGCCGTGAGCTCTCAGCTCGAGCCCTAGTTATCTCGCTTCGCCGCTGTGGCCGACAGCGGCACGCTCCGTGGGGCTGGGCAGCGACTGGGGTCACAGCTGCTGCCGATTGCTAGCGTGCAGCGGAACACCGTACGGTGTTTCAGACTGGCCAAAGGCGGCTCTCTGTTGTCTGTAGCTTTACCATCTTCTTTACTGTTGTTCGTACATTTCGTGGTCAGAGTTCTTGATAGGTTTCAAGCAGTCGTCTTGATAAATGATTGCTTCGGGATACCACTTGGCTGCGTTCGTGCCCGCCACTCGTATCAGCGCATCCAAAGGCGAATTGCCAGATTTTGTTTAGTCCCTTCTCCTTCAATTGCTCACCTGTATGCTGTGTCGATTTCGTGGAGCGTCAACAATGATAAGTACTTAGTTGTCGCTGATACTCTCATGAGTAAAGCTGTACGTTTTTAAGTTGAAATGGTCTTTAATCATTTCGATGCTGCAAGTCTCAACATTTTGTTCTGCTGCGTCTCTGCAAAACCATATGTAAAGTTGCTGTTTATATCGCCTAGTTCTTAGCCATATAAGTGTATCAAAACATTTTAATAAAGAGGGCCATGCACACGTACTGACCTGGGTTCCGAATTGTCTGCACCGCTTAGACCGGTTTTCTTTCTCCTCAGCTATTTACTTTCACTGAGATGTTTGTGCATATGTAAGGACCATTGATGTTGTCGAGACAATTTTATCCGTAGTGTTGCGTACGCGTGGCCGCGTTTTGGTACAATTCGCATTGGATGGTTTCTGTGTTAGACACCCTGGCATCGACAGAAATGACGTGAACTGTAGCGTACCTGGTGAGTGATGCGCGCTCTCTAGACTGTCTGTAGAGAACACGTGGTGTGATTTTGTGACTAAAATATATCATATACCCTGCTGTGGTCCGCAATGTTGTGTACAAGGCGTTGCCAACTGACACGTAGATAGACATGGCGTTTATGTGATTTTCAGTGGGTCAAGTAGGCGCGGGTTTGCTGACACTTTACGTCCCTCTCATCTCGCTCATGTGCCGGCACCCATTCATGAGTTTCCCCTTCTCTTGAGCAGTGGCGTATCCCAATGTTCTCTGTTAATCGGAACCAGGTGGGTTCGCGACTCTGGCAAGCCGTGGATGCAGCAGCTTTTTCGAGCGAAAACCTTTCCCGCTCACTCATGAGCGACAACCAGATGCTTCACGGCATGTCACACACTACGTCCGTCACAAAAATACGTTCTTCAATATATTTAGCGATGTCCACCTAAACATTTGGCACAACAATGGGAAAATCAACACTGCCGGCGGATAGGTCGTGGCTCAAGCTCAGAGACAGGGCAGGTTCGGCTGAGTGACGACATTACGGAAAGGACCATGATGCCACATTCGCCAGGTGATGCTCCGTGCCAGTGCTCAGGGGGCGCGAGCTAACGCCGTCACTCAGCGCTGAGAAGTGGCTGATGCGGGCACGACTTGGCGCAGGGGCGGCCGACCTGGCGCAGAGGTGGCGCCCGGCGCCGAGCGCGGCGGGCGGTGCAGACGGGCGCGGCTGGCGGCGCGCGGCCGGCAGTGGCACGCGGCCGCCCACGTCCAGCCGCCGGCCGCCGAGAGGCAGCGAGTCTCGCCGGGCGCGCCGCAGCAGACGGCGCGCCCACATGTCGGGGCTGGCTGTCGTGACGTCACTCTGACACAGTCGCCGGCACCGCGAACACACAGAGCGTGGACACAGCTCACTGAGGCCGCGCAGCTCGGTGCAGAGGTGGCGGACACGGGAATCCGCGCACGCACGCACACGTACACACACGCTCACATCGGGTCCGAGAAGTGAAATAAATAAAGTGGCGTTCTAGCCACCACAAAAAGCATCAGGGCAAATACCTGGATATGTGCTATGTACATCAAGGAGTTCGACTGGGGAGCTCCAGAAGCAGGCCCGACCGCCTGCAAAACATTGCAATCACCCGTGAAGACTGGAAAACTCCGCTGATTACACTCTTCAAGGGAAACACATGGTCCCTGTGTCAAACTTAGCCGTTTCCGTCCTAAAAGAACAAGCTACCGCTCCACATGCTGAGTGGCCAAGGAAGGGACTGTACGTCGAAACACGGTCCTAACCGGGGCGACACCTGGCTGGGCGTAAGACGTCGCTGCCACGCCCGTTCCGCGCGCCTCCACGCGCCGCGTCAGATGGGGCTGCCGGTGGGGACGCGTCCTTCCCCCCGCACAGCTGACGGCAGCGCGACAGTGGACACCGCCCGGCCGCCAAACTTCTCCGTCGGCCGGCCGCCGGAGGCCGCCGCCTAGACGGCCGTGGCGGCCGGCTCGGCGCCGGTCGGCACCGCTGGCGGCGAGTACGGTGAGGCTGAGTCACGTGACGTGGCCGGGCTGGGCTGCGGCGAGCGGGCGGTGGCGGCGGCCGGCTCGGCCAGCGCCGGGCTGAGCAGGCCCGGCAGGTCGGCCAGACCGTCGCGACACCAGAGGCTCCGCATCTCCTGCCGACGCCGCCGCATCAGCGCCTTGTACTCGGAGATGCGGAGCTTCTTGCCGTCGACAATGCAGGTGCGTTTGGGCCGCGGTCGGTACCGGTACTCGGGGTGCTCCTCCATGTGCTGCTTGCTCAGCCGCGACTGCTCCTCGTAGAACGGCTGTTTCTGCTCGTTTGTCATCGCCTTCCATCGGGCCCCTGGCGAGAAGATTTCAAACCCGAGTTAGGCATTTTGGCCACCAGGGGCCCATGCGTCATTCATCGCAGATGCACCGTTATAGAGTACGTCAGAGGTGACGTGCCTGTGTGATGACACTTACCTTGTCAACGTCACGATTTTCGAACAGCCTGGGTTCTCTCACACTGGCAAAACAGGTGGAGCGAATGAGGCTGGAGGGATCCAAATGCGCATAAGTTAAACACGGGAGTCGTGTTTGCTTTTCTATCGGCTAGGGACGTGCGCACGTTCTCCAACTTTCAAATTACTCGACTTGCGTGCATTCGGAAATCTCCAGTGTGTTGCTCGACCGCCTGTACGCGATTTGAATAGACTCTGACCCCAACACTTTTGAGAGCCGAATTATGACCCGAGTCAGGGGCACTTTTCTCTTTTCAAAATAACGAGGTAAGTTACGAATGCACTAAAAAATAGCGAGTACAGAAGCCCGATCAAACTTCGTACCAGAAAGTGCTGCATTTTACGTACCAAATTCGGATACATATCTTTCCAGTGGTTTTGGCAGCACCTGAGTACGTTTAGCGTTCGTATTTGTGACCACCCAAAATTGAAAGCCACAGATAAACGTAAGTTTAAGCAGACACTGTGGGCCATATAAGGTGATTATGTGATCAGTTTGCATGTGTAGCGGTCAGTACGAAGTGTAGCATGTCAGCTGTATGGGCCAGCTCATAAACTCCGTTACCCATGGAGGGGAGGGGTCTTTACTGGGGCGTTGGAGAAAGGGTTTAAAAAACAGACAAGAATGCCTGATGTAATATGTGAGCGGTTCTTATAAATAAATTGCACGATCACAAAGGTGACAAATATGGCGCATGGCACAGCATCTACTTCTTTACTCACCTAGATTCAACAGAGGAGGATTGGCAAACTGATAGTTTTTCACGGAATTTTTCGTGATGTTGAAGACTATGAAGATTTCGTGAACTTTATGAGGTTTCTATGGGTGTTGTAAGTGATGTAACCTCTGATGAATACATAAAACCTTAGTTACTTAATTATTTTGAGAATGATCCTGATTTTTTGCCACTAAATTGTATAGTATTTCATCGCTACCGCGGATAACGGTTCTCTCCAGCAAAGACCCCTACCCTCCACGGGAAACGAAAATAATATGGGCGGCATCAATGGCCCCCAACGGTCATTGCATCTTATATCAAGAGCAGTGGCGTGCTTCACTATGAAAGAACAATGGTTAGCTTTAGCAGATCTGTAGCAGCATAGCAGACCTAAAATACAACCAGACATTCTTCCTGTCCTGAACGCAGCTTTTAGCCACAACAAATGGGAATAAATGGCAGAAAAGAGCACCGGGAACGTGAAAAAAAAATGTCAGGCCGTCAGATCAGGCTACCAGGCTACCAGATCACATACAGCAAATAACTACAGAACACATGAATAAGCGACAAAAGTGGAGAATATATATATCAACGAGTTTATATTTACAGTGCAATGACCTCTTTCACATATGCCTTGACAATATCGTCCCCCTGCCCTCTGGCATGATATGTGCATTCGTAATGAGGGTGTTTGAGTTAATGAGTGCGTATTTCCTGACTGGCAAATGTGTTTGCAATGTATACAATCTGGATAGTGATGTAGGGGCGCTGGATTAATTTGTCTTTCCATGTCATATGGAGATGTTTTATTTTGGCCTATGGCTGTTATGCTCCTTGGAACCTGGATGATCTCTGCAAACGGTGTCTTGACTTAAATTGTTTATCTGAATGGTTTATGTGCACTTTTGACTCAGGACTAGATTCCGCTTAGCGCTAAACCATGGAAAATTAATCGCCTTATTTTGGATTTTAAATGAGAACTTGTAACTTTATTTCAATCGGGACTGGTACCTCTTGATCTGACTGATCTTTGATTTGAATGATTTGATTGATCTTTCGTGATTCTGTCGTCGATTCTGAATATGAAGTGAATAGAGCACAAGTCTAGATTCATGCAGCTGCAATCATCCAAGTATACCTAAGTTGCAACACTCATGCCACCCCTTGCTTACAAGTTCAATTTTCAATTCACTCATGAATTCGAAACTCGGAACACTTTAGAAACAGCCACGAGGGTGCAAACAATTTTTCCGAAAGCTGTCTGGTTTCTAGCCAGCACCTTTAGCATTGCAAGCATCCATGAAGTAAGTCGAATCAGAGAAATCAACTCACCGAGAATTTTACTAATATTTGAATTGTGCATGTCGGGGCACGCCTTGAGTATTTTCCTCCTCTCGTCCTTGGCCCAGACCATGAAGGCGTTCATGGGCCGCTTCACGTGCGGCTTGCCACTGCTGTCCTTCCTCTGCTGTCGGATGATTTTGGCTCCGAACAGCTTGGCTGCGGGAACAGGCACAGCGCAATGAGCGCAACGGTTGTCAGTTGCAACATGGCAACGGAGGAGCGGGCGAGGCGGGACCACCGCACACATTCACGTCATGGGAGCACTGCACCACATGCATTTTGCCAATATCCCCTTATTTCAGTATCATGTGGTCTTAATCATTGATATGAAATCCTACGAATACTAGGGATGTCAGCAAAATAGATGTAAAATAGACCGTGTCAAGGGTGGCAGCGAAATAGCCAATACAAACATGTTTGTTGCATCTATTGTTGATATACGTGTTGCGTGACGAATACGAACACCTGATGGCTAAACTACGTTAAAAATAAAATCGTACGAAACCGGCACATTGTTCACATCACTACAAGTACCAATGAATGTGGCACTCGATCCCGTGCCTATTTTCCTTCAACATAACTCAGCTCTAAACACTGACGAATGAAGTCAAGAGTGGGGGTGAGGAGCTGCAATCCCTGTCAGATTTCGCACCACAAATAACTCACTGACACATCCTGATCCATAGACATCACAAGCATAGACGTGGAAACGCAGGCCAGGAGAGCGTCGCACGACTCTTCCACTTTTCGCAGAAGTTAAACATTGACCTTATGGTGACGCATGCCAAGAGTCTACCTCAGGCAGAGACCCTTCACTCCCATTTTCTGGCACGTGCCTACGCCACTGTTACGAACCAACTAGTGCACGGCCGGGCAACTTGCGGTGAGCCAAGGCACCGAATTCAAATTGTCGGACAAGGTTGCACAGATGGGCCTCCGGAAGGACTACATGACTCACTTTTCTGAAAGGAGCACTGGTACTTGCTCTGCTAGCTAAAGACAAGGCCTCGGATTTGTTTTGTTTGGATTGGTCTGGCACTGGACCAGAGCCCTTTCTGCCAGCACTGACCATGGGATGCCTATAACCAATGGCTATTGGATGAAGGAGGGTGGAAGGTAGTGCGCCAAGATGAAATGCATTGGGAATCCTCCGGTTCCGGGAATTACACGCCGTAGCAAACCGTCTTTGGGCACCCGCCAGGGGACGTGGGGCACTTAAACCCGCTCATGGCTAATGCATGTCACTTGCTCCAGATAAACGGGGCGTTACGGGAACGAGGAATCCCGAAACAAAAAAGAATGCAATAATGCAAGGCTGGGTGCGCGGCTTTGGAAACAAATTTCTTTGTGTTTACTTCTTGAGCTCCATTTGGCGCCGAACTCATGACGCGTTTGACCGTTTGTTCAGAAAGTCAATATATTTATAAGCCTTTGCGCAACAGCTAAGATTTCCAATGTCACGGTGAGCAAGCTCGTCATTTGAAGAAGCCATCACTCCTCCCGTCCCTGTCTTTTCTCCAAGCTCTCGCGGTAGCTGTTGAGGCCTCTTCACCATGTGGCGGCTCAAAGGTTTGGTCTCGGAGGGTAATGCAGGCTTCACGCCTCCCCGCCCCACTCCCACCCTTGCCGCGTCCTGGCACTCACTTGTGCAGGCCGAGGTGGTGAGCTCAGAGTCGGTCTTGCCGGCCTCCTCCATTCCTCTGGCGGACGGCGACACCATGGACATGCCGGCCAGGCCGTTGCCGAGCCGGCCGTGCGGGTAGAGCATGTGTAGCGGCAGGCCGTCGCGGCCGGCCGGGCCCAGACCGAGCGGGTGAGTGGGTCCCGCTACCGACGTCGGCAGCTCCATCTTGACTGCAAGACAAGGCGGCTGGCCGTCAGCATCATCACCCGATCCAGCACAGCGGTCAACACAGGGCGGCTGACCGCCAGCACCATCACCCGACCAAGCACAGCGGTCAACACAGGGCGGCTGACCGCCAGCACCATCACTCGACCAAGCACAGCGGTCAACACAGGGCGGCTGACCGCCAGCACCATCACTCGACCAAGCACAGCGGTCAACACGGGGGCGGCTGACCGCCAGCACCATCACCCGACCACGCCCAACGGCCCGTCACGCGCTGGACTGCACTGTAATGCAGTGGGGGTGCACTGGCGGACGAGATCGAACGTTCAACTAGACCATGTTGTGCAATGCTTCAGAAACTGCGGCAGAACTCCTCCAAGGAGCTCTGAAATACGTATTCTTATAATCGCTTGGTCAGGAATCCTATGCCCTTAGGCGCAAAAACTGGAGGGGTATGGGGTTAGGTGGGTGGAAGGGGATAAACGTGTCAAAACCGATGCTATTGCTAAGTTTCATCATAACGTCTATAGAGCTGTATGTAGAGTCAAACTTAAGCGGGAAAGGTGAGTCAGACCCAATCGAAACACTCACAGGCCTCGCTATGTTAGAGAGCTTTCCTACACCCCTGCCCATACCGATCATGTCCCTGCGATTAATGGCTACGATGGTAGCAGCCTATTTTCGTTGCTTAATGAGTCCTACCCGGCGCATAACTTTCGGAGTGGTTATGACTTTGCCCTATTCGGTACTGGAAAGGAATTTTCACGTGCAGAATTGACTTAACCAATCCACCCGCTACCCATAGACATGGTCCTATGCTCACGTCCGCCCGCTACCCGTCTATAATCGGTTCTCCCGCCAGATACCCAACCGTTTGCAATTCTTCCCACGTTGGTTCTTATTTATGAATTTTTTATGCTACATGAAACAACGGCATGGTGTTTTAGTCTTTGGCGCCGACATTTGTAAAATCAGTGCAAATGGAGCTATTTGGGACTTGAAGAAAATCAAGCAGTAATAATGTATAGCATTCATTGGAACAAGCACCAGACATGTCGTAGGTCTTACCCATGCCACGAATTTTCTCAAAATCTGTACGCAACCCCTCTCGTTAATTTTCTATAAGAGTGTCCATGGGTTTACCCAGCCCTTGAGTCATCTAGAAATGCATATTAACCTTTCCAGTTCCATCTTACCAACAAAAGATTTTCTGGTTGAGAGTGCATTGTATGACGGGCCCAGCGCTGTACGTATTGCATTGCTCACTTGAACAAGAACAAACTGACGTCAGCTCGGTGATTGTGTGGGGTCGTCAGATCGTTCCGCTCTCCATGATTCAGGGCGCCGCCTACCTCCCCCCCCCCCCCCGCCCTTACCAGACTTCGCGGAGCCAGCTGCCCTGTGCACTCACACTGCTCGGCTGCCGAGCCCAGAAGGCCCCGTGCACTCGCACTGCTCAGCTGCCGAGCCCAGGGTCCCGGGCACTCACACTGCTCAGCTGCCGAGCCCAGAGGGCCCATGCTCGGCGGCAGGCCATACGGCATGAAGGGCGACGGCAGCAGTGACTGCGGCGAGAAGGCCGCGAACGGGGGCTCGGCCGCCGACCGGCTGCCGCTCGCCGCCGCCGGCTCCTTGGCCTTGGTCAGGTTCAGCGGGCCGTCGTCGGATGGCGTCACCGGCGCCGAGGCCAGCGTCACGTGACTGCTCGCCAGCTGGCCCAAGTGCGCCTGCGCGGCGGATGCCCAAGAGTACACCTGAACACCGGCGAAGGGAGTCAGTACGCGGCGGGGGTGGCGGTAGGGGGGATACTACACGTGACAAGTCGAAGAGGGGAAGGGAGAATTATGGGGAGGGGAGGGGTGACCCGAACAATCCACGCGAGGCTGCCAAACAACACCACTGACAGGTACACGGTCGGTTTTATGAACTGTTCGAACGAGCAGCGAGGCTTTATGTCCAGAAGTCCAGAACAGGAGCGCATCTGTATCTGAACAATGCTCCCGAAAACGATGGATATAGAATAAAGGAGCACTGTGGACTAACTCTTACCAGAATCCATTCTAACATTTGACTCACAGGCATGTCACGGCCATACAGCCTGCAAATCTGAATGTGCACTCGTAACTATTCTTACTGCCCCACCTCCATGCCCGGAGCCCCCAAAGAATCCTTTCAATAAAGGTGATAGTAAGCATACGAGCAGCATACATTATTCCCTTAAAGGCAAGTCACGCGCTCGGAGGAAACAGGGGCACGGGGCAACTGCAGTGCTTTTGCTTATATACCCGTGGGAGCCCCGGCGGCCAGGGTCACGGCCTCCGTCCAGTGTGCGTGCCGTAATGAGCGGATACGGACGTATCACCGACGGGCGCGGGGGAGGCCGGGGAGCGGGAGCGTACTCACCGGATGCTGCGTGCCGGACGCCAGGGAGGTACCGGGCGCCGGCGACGGCAGCGAGGGCGGCGCGGTGGGCGCCAGCGCGCGCAGCTGCGGGCTCAGGAACGGGTACAGCATGAAGGGGTGCGGCACGTGCAGCATGTCGGGCGCGCTGCGCAGCGCCGCGCCGCGGTCCAGGCTCTCCTGCTGCCGCTGCTGCAGGTACTGCCGGACGGGCACGACTGCGTCAGGGGCGGCGGACACAACTGCGTCAGGGGCGGCGGACACGACTGTCTCAAGGGTGGCGGACACGACCGTGTCAGGGGTGGCGGACACGATTGCGTCAGGGGGCGGTGGACACGACTGCGTCAGGGGTGGCGGACACGACCGCGTCAGAGGCGGCGGACACGACTGCGTCAGGGCCGGTGGACACGACCGCGTCAGGGCTGGCGGACACGACTGCGTCAGGGGTGGCGGACACGACCGCGTCAGAGGCGGCGGACACGACTGCGTCAGGGCTGGCGGACACGACTGCGTCAGGGCTGGCGGACACGACTGCGTCAGGGCCGGCGGACACGACTGCGTCAGGGCTGGCGGACACGACTGCGTCAGGGCCGGCGGACACGACTGCGTCAGGGCTGGCGGACACGACTGCGTCAGGGCCGGCGGACACGACTGCGTCAGGGCTGGCGGACACGACTGCGTCAGGGCTGGCGGACACGACTGCGTCAGGGCTGGCGGACACGACTGCGTCAGGGCTGGCGGACACGACTGCGTCAGGGCTGACACTGCCAAGGTGACGGGCGGCGCCTCGCACGTCACTCGCACGTCGGAGGCGCTCTAGTGCAGCAGGTGGCCGACAAACTGGGCCTGATACGAAGTGAAGGCTTCCTTTTGAAGCCGCTCTGGTTTCGGCAACGGTGTGTGCTGAGGGTGTTGAGCGAGGTGGTGTAAAATACGCACGATAAAAAACTTTACGAACAGGGCGACAAGGTTATCCTCAGTAAGCTCTTTAATGCAAAGCGTTTAGGCGTCACAACAGTCCCATATTATTTGGAGGACGAGAAAACATGGCAAAGGTTTAGGTGAAAAACAAAGGCAGACAGGTGATGTGTCTGTAAGTAGGTCGGGGACTTGTGGGCTCGTGCCCAACATGTCTTACTTGCCTCCACCTCATAATGGTCATTGTGGGTAGAAGGGCGTTAATAACTGCCAAATATCCCTTTATTTTGCGGCACATTGCTCCAAAACTAGCCTGATTAATGTGGGATTCTATCCATTTTATGAGTGGACATCTATACTCAGTACCATAGTATGCACAGCGTTATTTCGTTCAGGATGGCTTTTTCAATAACAGATATAACACACACACGCGCGCGCGCACACACACACACACACACACACACACACACACACACACACACACACACACATATATATATATATATATATATATATATATATATATATATATATATATATATATATATGTGTGTGTGAGCCCTGACCATATATATATATATGGTCAGGGCTGTTGATATATATGTATATATATATATATATATATATATATATATATATATATATATATATATATATATATATATATATATATATATGGCAGAAAAGTACAGATCCGTCGGGCCAGCTCAGCTGGTCAGAGCGCCTGCCTTCCCATCCACACGCCCGTCGCGGGGCGGGTTCGAGACGCTTCAGGCGCTCCCGATTTGCCGTCGACAGATATTTCCTGTGGCCGGTGGCAGCGGCCACGCTAAAAGGTCAGGTGACGTCAGAGGGCAGGACGGGCCGCGCCGACTATTGTGGCACCTTGGACTTTCGCCACCAAATTCAGCCGTTGACCTGGCATTGCGCGTTCGGACGGTAGGGGTCAGGGCTCACTAACATACACTGACCAGCGTGAGCTCTGACCCCAGAAATCCATCGATTCAAAAGATTCGGGTTGAATCGTTCAAAAATGTGCAAGTAGCAAGGTCCGCTGCATATCCCGCTTCAAAGAACCTCATCCCGCTTACCGAGGGGTAGTTCAACTAACTTACAAATCAAAGTAATCATTGCAAAACACACGACATGTAAATTCCTTAATAAGACTAAAAGTACGATGATACCTTCCCAGTTTCTCTAATGAACGTTTTGGCCCAGCAGGTTTTTATTTCAGAGGAAGGCTCGGCGTGTTATGGTCGGACACATGCTCAAGAGTAATATCCTGCACTTCACGATTAAAAGTAATTTGCCTTCGAGGAATAGAAAAGTTTTAACCCTATGGTGGTAAGCTAACTTTGGCGTTTGGGGAGGTAACAACAAAGGATCAAAGGCTTTAACCCAAAACTTTTCGGACTAAAACTTTTGGGAGAACTAGCCGAGCACGTGGTGTTTGATCAGCTTCGCTTCGAAGCGCTACGCAGAAATAGCAATTAGCTGATCACAGCTGCCTCAAACAGAATGGGACAGAAGTCGCAAGCACATGTTGACATCTATTAAATGAGCACGTCCGAGCGTTGCAGGCAATTTTGCAAGCATTCAACGAAGGCAGACTACTATTTGCAACATCACGCCAGCCAGCACCACGTTGCATGCCGTATAGTGCACCCAGACACCAGCGACATCTGGCCTGCTGCGACTGAGCCAGACGGGCCGAATGTAGTGCCCCGCCCCCTCCTCTGCGGACCCCTCAACACTCAGCATGCTCCAGAGCGGTCGCGTGAGTCCGACCCCCTCCCCTCCCTGCCCCGGGCTCTGCGCCGTCCTCCGCGGCGGCAGCGGGGCGGCGGCGGCAGCGGCGGCGCCCATTTGGACGGCGCTGCCGGCCGATGACGGAGGCGGCGCGGAGCCGATGACGGACACGCCTCTCCACCGTCCCGGCTGCCGGCGCAGCCAAAACAAAAGACGGCCGCCGCAGACGGGTGCACAGAGGGAGCCGAAACACCGCGTCGGCACGTCATTTGCCGGCCGGCGCGGACGACAGCCGCGCCAGCCGAGCGAAAACAGGCCGCGCTGCCGGCCGCCGGCCGAGTGGCCCGAGAAAACAAACAGGCAGCACGAGCGACGCGCTGCTGTTCCGACCGCTGACCGCTGCCGGCGGACGACCTGTGCCGGAGGAGCATGCTAAGGCATGGGCGTCGGGAGGATGAGACGCGACCGCCCAACAGCAGCTGTCTTGGACGGTTGGCTGCTCCCGTGGAACCAGCCTGCTACTGCTTCATGTGGTAAAACGTGCAGGGGGTGCAATTATCCGCGGCTGTTTCGAGGCGACATAGTTTGGCACGAGCCGTACTTGGGATCCATTGGCAGAACAGTGGATATGATTGAGGTAGGATTTCCATGATGTAATTAGCCAACATCTACCAGCATTCATGTCCAGGAATCGTTGCAAAACGATATGCTCCCATGCTAATTTTTCTTCGGACTAAATCGTCGTCAGGGAAGCCATCGACCGGTTTCGTCATCGTTTGCAGATGCTGATTTATCTGCAGTAGCCTCTCTGTACGAGAGCACGATGGTGTGGAGCAGACGGCTCTACCATATCATACTGCGTCTCGGATTGCCTGTCTGTTATCCGCATTACAAGCGAGCGAGTCCTGGAAGACATACTGCAACTTGCGTTGACACGTTACTTTCTTGTAAACTAATGCAAATATATCTTAACCACATGTTGCAGCCCGGCGTGCATCGCATACAAGCTGTGCAGACATCCGTGGCGTAACGTATTTTGCCAGGATGAAGGCGCCAGCATGCAACATACTTTCAGTAAGATATTTTTATGTTAACATCTCAAAATACGATAAGGCGCTACATTCAGAAACGAGCCGGCTAGCCTCCAGACGGTCAGCTCGCGCTCAAAGGTTGCAGTGAGGCTTGGCGACGGCGCGGACGGCGTGGTCGTCGGGTGTGCCCAGGGCCGGCGCTCGAGCGGCGCCCCGCCGCGGAAGCGACGCGCGCCGGCCGGCCAGCGCCGACGCCGACCTCCCTCGAGACCGGCCGCCGGACAAACCGACTCCGACGGATGACGCTAATCGCATCTGTTGCGGAAGATTGGCCGAACTGATCCGGCGAGGGCCGGCCGGCCTGCGCGCGACGCGCCGGAGCCGCCGGCCGCCGACAATGTCGCCGGAGCGCCGGTCGAATGACAACGAGTGGCCGCCGGCTGGATGGCCGCCCCCCCCCCCCCCCGCGGACCGGACCGACGGCCGCTCGGCGGAGCAGCAGCTGACTGTCTCCGGCGCGAGAGGAGGCTGAGCTGGTCAGACGTGGGTCAACGCGAGAACCAGCTGGCTACACCGCACGCCTGGTACGGACCGCTGCCGCACGATTGGTACGGACCGCAACCGCGCGGACCGCAACCGCTCACTTGACACGGACCGTGGCCGTACGCTGTCGCTGCCGCACATCTGGTACGGAGCGCTAGGATCTCAGCCGGCCATGAAGCGCAGAATGGATCATTCTTATCACTTAGGCTGACCAACACCCTAAGATAAGTCGCGGGTCCTAAGCTGTGTGTTTAACAAGCCATTCGAAACGTCTCACCAGCTCGGAACAGCCGTGAGCAGCCGGTAAGCAGTATCAAGCCGACCTACGTAGCGAACCCCGCGCTGAAGCGAACTTCAGAAGCGGACACGAGGCCCGCTCCCCTGAACAATCACGGCACTTCCGCCGCAGCCTCGGGCACACCTCTCCGCCCCCCCCCCCCCCGCGCCCCTTCCCCGCTGTTGTCATGGCCCGGCTCGCGGTGTCTCCTCAGACGGGAGCGGGGAAACACGAGCTGAGAGGCCGAGGCCGAGCCGACGCGTCATCGCGTGATGGCATAATGTTGCGCCTTCCCCGCGCCCACGTTATTAATGATTTTCGGCAGCGCGCAATCCGGCTGGCGCCCTCTGTTTTCGCGCGGAGATGCATGTGTTTGGGGACCGTTGCGAGGCGTGGGCGCGAATGAAGGACGGGCCAGTCTGCTGTGCCGCAGCACGCGCCTCTGTTTCCGAAAACAAGTTTGAGGGGAAATTAGCTCTCGGAGCGTCAGCAGCGGCGGCGGCGGCGCTGGCCGCGAGTTCGGGGGAGCACGACCCCGGCGGCGAGCCGGTCGGCTTCTGAGCCGGCCGTCTCCCGCAGCGCCCGGATCTGCGGAGGAGCGGCAACGGCGCGCCGACGAGCGCGCGAACAAAACAGATCTGGTGTCGGAGCGGACGGCTGTCTATTTGTCGGCGCCATTGTAC